AGAACACACTTGTGTAGGATCTTTTTACCCAAAATGTGAAGTATTGGAGTAACATTTTTGGGGGGAAGTTTCCAGAGTGACCGTTCACGGGGATGGTTGGCTCCTTGGAATTGTTCATTACTCATGGAAAGCTGCCTGATTTCTGGGGTTTCCACTATAAAACATGACTCCATGGGAAAATGGACTAGAATGCTAGTTACATGAAAAGAGTAGATTTTTATCAGGTTAGTTCACAGCACTTGGTACATAGTAGGTATTTGTTGAAAGTCAGTTGAAGGAATGGCATCAAGAGGCTTAGCTACCAAGTTGGTAGAAGGACCAACTCAGGCAAGCCACCCTCTGACTACCACACATGTCTTGTGGCACATGCTTACCACCACCACTCTGCCACATACACATGTGGCAAATAAATAAAGTGGATTGCAAATAATTGTCAAATTAATTAATTTGGAAGGGAGATTCTCAAAAGACAAACAAGTCTGTTAATATAGGTGATAAAATAGAGTTGGGACTCCAAACACGTATTTTTAACAACCACTGCTACCAATTAGACTGGGAAGCTGGGAAGTCTGAGGCCCAGAGGTGGACTGGAAGTCATGTTCAAAGTCATAAATAGTAAGTTCATAATCAAGCCAAGATCAAATTCTGGGCTCCCCAAACCCTAACATAATCTTTACCATACCTTTAAAACATCTACAAGAAAGGGAAAGAAGCTGTTTGGTCAACCTTATGACATTCATATGGCAAAATTGGAGCCCTTGAAGTGATATTCGTGAGTTCATGACATCTAACCCCCAAGTAGATGACCATCCACTCACTTTGCTCCTTGCCCCTTTCTCCACACAAGGCTAGATTGAGGAATAGGCTGGCCAGGCCACAGCCCATGGTGCAAGGCTGTTGGGTTACTGGTATACTGGAGACAGCTAACAGGATGGAAGAAAGCATATTGTTGTTGGAAGAAAAAACTTCTTAAAGTCACTTGACCTCCTCCTGGCCTCTCCTTCCCCTCTCATCAAAGAGTGAAGTCACCTCTAGTGATAGTAAGCAGTTCTCAATCTAGGCTGTGAGCCTTGGGCAAGCAAACTTCACACTGAACGGGTTGTGATGGCACAGAGGACACCAGGGAGCCTCATGCTTTCCTCTCTTCATCCATCTTATCCGTTCCTCTAAACCAAACACAGATTAAGTAATCACTCATTAGAGGAACACAGAACCCTAAGGTTTCCCAGAGTGGTCTGGAGTGTCTGGTCAGCCAGTGGCAGCAGGAGCCTGAGTTCAGCTCACTCTTAAAGGAAAGATTTTGAGCCCCTTTGTGACTTCAGAGTCCAGGCCTGCTAATTCTTAGGCAATCCGTCTAAAGAAAGACAAAAGATAGGACCCAGTTTTGTTCTCTTTGTTTTGACCAAAATTTTAGGTACAGTGTTTGCTCATAGTGGAGTTGAGCTTTATGTAACTGGAGGAACAGCCTAGACTGAGGACAAAGGAGGTAAGATTTGAAGTTAGATAGACACTTGCACTTTGCTGAATTAATCTTGTGACCCTGAACTTGTAACTCAACTCCTCCCAGACTCACTTTTCCTCTGCATATAATGGGGGAAATTGCAATTTTATTAGTTGTTAATTTAAATGATAAAAGTTTAAAAAAGATCTATTCATGTGGCTGGAATGCTGGATATTATTATATCAATAATTAGTGAATTAAATAGTGGAATAATAAATGGTAGTAACAACCCATAAAGATTCACATAAACCTTTGTAAGATTGATGAGAGCGTACAATGGGGGCTGGATAGTGCTCTTCCAGGGAACCCAAGCTTAGATCCCAGAACTTAGGTCACGTTGGCTGCCTCCTAACCACATCTAAGCCCAGCTCCGTGGGATTCAGTGCCCTCTTCTGGCCTCAGCATGCATGTGGCACACACACACACACACACACACACACACACTAAATCTTAAAAAAAAAAAAAAGAATGCAAAGAACAGCTACTATCCACTTGATTTTGAAAGCAATAAACAGGTAAAATTTATAGCCAAATTAAAAAAAAAATTGCAAGAAAGCAAAGGAATTCATGAGGATGAGCATCATGATTTTCAATACACTTAAGTGGGATGAGCTAACTCATCATATGTAAACCTGTATGGGATTTACAAACAGAACTTTCATAAAATCCCATGATAAATTCCCATTGAGAGGTAATAATTTTTAATTTACTATTAAACATTTCATGGATCCTATTGACACTCCCTAATAAAATACCAATTTTTTAAAAACACATAAAAATGTATTTATATAATGACAGCTTCTATATATAGCCTTCTTCTCTCCATCTCCTCGTCTCTAACATACACACACTTTCCATATATCACTGACATATGAGAATCATTTTAAATGTTAAGGAGAATAGGCATGATGGCAAATGCCTATGATCTGTGATCCCAACATTTGAGAAGTAGAGACACAAGACCATTCTCAAAAAAAAAAAAAAAAAAACAAACAAAAAAAAAACTAAAACTAAACATACACACACACACACACACACACACACACACACACACACACACACACTCCAAGATAAAAGGTGAAGGAAAATGATGGCTGCAAGTCTTTTGACAACCCAGGAATACTTAGAAAAACAGAAGGAGAGGAAGAGTTGGGAAGTGTTCCAACAGATCCAGTTGACATATTTCTCATGGGAACAAAGGAAGGGATTATAGTAGGAAGTGGCTATTTCTACCTTTCAAACCTACATTGTTCTCTGGTCGGCCCCACAGTGCACTTGTGTAAGCAACTGGAAAGCAGACCAGGCCGGCTCAGAAAGTCAGCCATGGGCTTAGGTAAGACAGAGAGCACTTTTTGGTCTCGGTTTCGCCATACGTGATTCCAGTGGTCCTCGTTCCAGGAAAAGAAAATGATTCCGTCAAGCCCCTCACTTTACACAGTGTGCAGGCTCTCGTAAGGTCACAGAGCTAATTAGTGGCAGCATCAGGACCAGAAGAGTCCTTTGAAGACTTGGCCTTTCTGCAGGAACAAAGCAGCCATTGAAGCAAGAGATAGGAAATGCTTTGTAAAAAATGGAATATTGTAAGGGAGAACTGTCCCGAACATATCTACTAAATCCCCAGCAGGGGCATCTGTGGCCATTAATTAAGAAAGGCCTTTTGAAGCACCCCTGTGCCATAGGAAGAGTCTTCTCTTTAAAACCAAATGCACTAGGTTTTAGCTCCCAACAAAGACACAAGGAGTAAACAATTAACTGAATTAATTCAGGCACTGAAGTGGATTTTCAAGGACTTGACTTGCCCAAGCTAGTTTTCTACAAAGCCTAAATAAATCAGATAATTGCTAATTCTCCCCTTTGTTTTGCACTGAGGAGAGTCTGTCTGTTAAAATGAACCTAGTGGCAGAATAAACAGTCATTAGAACATTCTCAGAGCTCCACATTTGAACCAAGACAGCACATTCCAAGCACACTACCTCTGCTATTACTTTTAAAATACTTTTATTATTACTATTATTTGGAGAGACCCTTTTAACCAAACGTCTAAAACTCAGGCTGTTGTAAGCATGATTGGCAGCACCCCCTTCCAAAAAAAAGAAAAGAAAGAAAGAAAGAAAAAAGCAACTGAACACAAGTTAGTAACTTTACCATGATTCTAAATAGTCTCCACTTCATAGCTTTTCGGGTTTTAAAATTAACACAAACATGAAATGTGAATGTATTTTAATTAGTTGGATCAGAACAATCAGTCACAAAATAAGTGAGTCTCTAGACTTTTCATCAGAATTTCAGAATCCAGAACAACTATTCTTATCATTTACATTCCCTTGTCACTCAACTAACATAAAACAGACTGTTATGACAATAAGGTATTTTATTAACTAAACCCAGGGCCAGAACATTAAAATAGGTCAATGTGGGTACTGAGCTCTGGTTCCCTGCAGTTCAGTGTAAAAATGTGTGTGTGTGTGTGTGTGTGTGCCCCTGACTTTGCCTCTTTTTCTGTCTGCCTCTCTCTCTCTCTCTCTCTCTCTCTCTCTCTCTCTCTCTCTCTCTCTCTGTGTGTGTGTGTGTGTGTGTGTGTGTGTGTGTGTGTGAAGTGATGAATTCACAAGTTGCAGTTAACTGGCAAGCTCCATGCCCTGTATAATTTGGTTTTGTAGGGCACTAATTGAAGTGAAAATGTGGCTAAAATACTTCATGTAACATAATAACTGTTGATTGCCAGATACTTTTGGTAAACAGTTGGCAAATTGTAACTCCCAACAGCTGTCACTATATATTTAGAGTAAATGTTAATTTAAGAATATTAACCTCGTGAGTGTTTCTGTAAACAAAGCTCCAGCTATTTTCAAAGGTTACAGAGACTGAGTATTTTTAGCCAAACCCAGGGCAGCTTGGCCCTCACTGTTTCTGAATTCTCCTGCTTTACACTTGAAAGGCTTCAATCTTAAATGGCTTGCTGAGGTTCCCTTGGGAATGCAAATGGCAAGGACACACGTGTGTGTCTTGGAGGCCAGAGAATAAACTGATAGTCTTGCTAGAGATGAGTTTTGCTCAGAGACAGAAGGAGCGGGGAGAGGAGAGAAAGGGAGGGGGGAAGGAGAGAGAGAGAGAGAGAGAGAGAGAGAGAGAGAGAGAGAGAGAGAGAGAGAGAGAGAGAATTTTCATCGAAGTCCCACCGTTTGCTAAATAAAGTCTTTTTCAGCCCAATTCCAGTCTGAAACCCCCTGCTTCCAACAATCCTTAGCGCGGCTTTTTTTTTTTTTTTTTTTTTTTGTCCTGTTTGAGCTACTCCCAAGTAAGATTTGCATGACAGATCACAAACTCTTGTGCAAACAGCCAAACAATTACACCAAGAATCAAACTGAGTCTCACATGCACGCAGCTTGGTGCAGGTCTTGGCTACAGTCATGCTTGCCGGGAGTTGATAGAAAGCCATTTTTATTTTGAACACGCGAGAAAAACTCAGTGAAAGTTTCAACCACACACAAACGCCTACCTGCTACCCGCCTGTGCTCCAGCCCCACGCTTTCCGCAGCGTGGTAGCAGTTCCGCGCCAAACGCTTCTACCTTCCCAAAAATGTGTGTGGGCGCAAACCCGGACGAAACTTCAAATCCAGGAAAATGGATTACCCGCGCAGATCAAAGGCAAGCGAGCAGGGAGATGGAGTGCCTGTAATCTGATCGCCGATCAGTTGCTGCGCATCAAAGCCAAGGCTGAATGAACTCACTATGCACGCAGATCTAGAAAGTTCGCTACCCTCGGTGCTTAGCGCGGCTCCCGTCTCCCAGGCCACACGTTCTTTTGTTAAACGTGGGCCACGTTGTTCTGCCTGGGCTCTGGAGAGCAGGCTTTTCCCGGCCTGGGCTGAGCAGCGCGCTGGATCCGCAGCTTTCTCTCGCGGTGCCCCAGCGGGGCTGCCTAGTGCCAGCGGGCTATGCCGCATCCCTTTCATCTCGCTGAGTGGCAGCTCCCATGACATCATGCCGTGCCGAGGGGCTGGTCGGGAAAAGCCAGGCAGACTGATTTCTAGGCGCGTTAGCCTGTGACTCGCCCGCGACAGCCCTGCGCTGTGTCTTTTGGCTGGGAGGGACACATCAGGACTACTACTGCTGTGCTCCTGGCCCTCAAGGTCCTGGACCCGTGCAGGTTCCTGAAGACAGCATCAGACCACTGCCTGTCACAAAAAGCACGAAGTCCCACCAGTTCAGGGTGTCGGAAATGCAGCAGAGCTCCACAGCAGTGTTTAATTAGGCCGTTTCTCTGAGCACCTGCTTACACAGCCAGGGTCACAGGCAAACGTTTTAAAAACTTGACCCCCAACCCCCTCACACCCACCCACCCCACACACACACATACTGTGACAGTCCTTAAGCATTGGTAAAATGTCTTTTCCTGGTGAAAAGAGTTATTATTACAGATGGTGTCAGTCAACTAGTGGATTTCCTTAAGTAGTGAAAACACAGGCTACAACTTACCAGGAGACCACTGCAGGCTCACGGGACACCTGGGTTGTTTCCTTCTTAGACATAATTCATAGACAGCTCTCTAGCAAACTGGAAAATTCACAAAACAGTTGGAAGAAAGCATTTGCTTGCAGCCACCCCACAGCTTCTGTCTCAGTCAAGACTCACAGTTTGGACCTGCAATCGCCACCTCTCTTTCTGCATTGCAAAATGAAGCTCTTTGCCCATAATTTAGAATATCTACAATGGTGGATAGAACACTGCAGCGGGGATGTGGCAAGTTTCTGAACCTGGAGGAGTTTATTCCGGGAGAAAGATTTCCATTTTATGGTGGAGACTCAGGACGGGCACTCTACCAATTGAACAATGTTCCTGGCGTTACACCCTTGAACTGCATGTCCCCTGAGACACCTGTACCTACACAACTCCTAGGACTCATGAAAACAGGGACAAACTATCTCCAAGAAGGCCTAGGCTGACTCTTCTCTGAGGTCACTCAGCTGTCCCATGGCATGGGGTCCACAATCCACAGCTTCACTGGGTATACTGCTGCTGTGGGATGGTCTTTTGGGTTGCTCTCATTGGTTGATAAATAAAGCTGCTTTGGTGTATGGCAAGGCAGGATAGAACCAGGTGGAAAATCCAAGCAAAGAGACAAGAGAAGACCAATGGAGTCTAAGAGACTCCAGTCAGCCATGGAGGAAGCAAGACATGTAGAAAATGAGATAACAAGCCATGAACAACTTGGCAAAGCATAGATAAGGGATATGGGTTAATTTAAATGTAAGAGCTAGCTAATAATAAGCCTGAGCCAATAGCCATGCATTTATTAATATTAAGCCTCTGAGTGATTATTTGGAAGTGACTGCAGGATGGGGCAGTGCTGTTTCCTATACACCATCATAGCAAATGGAAACAGCTCAGTGCTCTTAACACTGGGTGAGCAGCTGGATCATAGGTCTTTACAGTTTACCATCCATGGGAAATAGGCAAGGGTTGGATTTGGATGCTTACATTCCTAAAAACTTCAAGAAGGCATCTAGAAGCAACACCTTCAGTAGACAATCATGCCAATCAAATTAGCTCTACACAAATCTCGAAAGCAATAAAGGCTGTTTAAACATCTTTGCTATTATGCCCTGTGCCCTGAGAATTGTTTTTAGTCGGTTCTTGTAAGGTGAGAACTATCCCTGTGGGAAAGGAAAGAGGCCTGAAGTCAGAGCTCCATCTGTCCCCAGATGCAGAGTGTGGCTAAAGGCTGATCTCCAAGGAAGAATGACCTCTTGACCTGAAGTTTGTCTGCACTTTGCTCAACTAACTGAACTCCCTGCAATGTGAGATGTGGCCCAGCCCTTGCAACCCTGAAAAGCATTGTGAAGTGCTTGACTGGGAGGCTCTGGCCCCTTACCTCCAAGAGGCATAGAGGAGGGCCAGTAAGATGTCTCAGCCAGTCAAGGAGCTTGTTGCCAAGTCAGATGACCCAAGATTCATCCCCAGGACCCACAAGTGATCCTCTGACCTCACATGCACATGTAAAATAAATGCATAAGTGCGATAAATTTTAAAAATTAAAAGGACACAGGTAAGTGAAATAAAATTAGATGCTCTGTGACAAGAAATGTGTCACTATCCTTGACATGCAGTCATATGTCCTGTAACCAGGGGGATTTCTTCTGAAAAATACATCATGCAAACATCAGAATGTATTACACAAATATAGACAGTGTCTGAAGAGACTCTAGCTGGCCTAAGCATGGCAAACGTGGCTTGGGAAGCCCTCCCCTTACCCTATTCCCTTTGCCTTGCTAGAAACCATTAGATTATATTCTGTAACACAAAAGAGTAAAAAACCCAGAGACAGATATTGGGTTCAAGCTGCAGATCAGAAAGGCAAATAACCGGCCACTTACTCTTAACCTCTACCCAGACTGAAAGGCAATCCTGGCTCCACCAAAACTCAGGCTGCTGTCTCTCCTCAACATGGCTGGAGAATCCTTAGACTTCAATGTTTTCCTATCCTCAACATGGCTAGAGAATGAATGCCAGCTCTGAGACCCCACTCTAGTCTTAAATACCTCCCTATTGCTGGGATTAAAGGTCATGATCCCAGGTGCTGAGATCAAAGGTGGGAGCTCTATTACTCTTCACTCTTATGCAGGCCAGGGTGGTCTTGAACTAACAGAGATCTGTCTCCCTCTTAATACTGAGTCTGGGATTAAAGGTGTGTACCACCACTGCCTGATCTCTATAGCTTGAGGCTGATTTTGTTTTCGGGCAAGTTTTAATAAATAATAAATAATATATCACCATAACATTCCTCAAGTTAGCCATCAATGTCTATTCCCTAATTTGACCATTTCCTCCTAATGAAGGAGACTACCAAGGTTCAGCTATCGAAGTATTAAAGCCCAGCAATCAAAATACCCTATTTGGCTCCCCTAATTTATATGCTCAATCAAAACAAACCAACTCGGCCTATCGGCCTAACACAGGGGTTCCTGTATTCCCTTTATAAACTGTCATTTTTGTATGGTTCACATCTGTCTCCTCTCTATCCAGAGGCAGTCCTTCATCCATCTGGGGCGAATATCCCTTCCCCTTCTCCCTAGTTCCTTTCCCTTCTCCCTGTCTTCTGTCTCCTGTCTTGGTGTCTTAGTCCCTGCCCTTTGTCCTATTGGGGAAAATAAATCACCTTTGTGCTGAGAACTTGATCTTGGGGTGTCTTGTGCCAATACCAGTTCCTTCAGTGTCATCTACCATGCACTTAGGGGATCTGGCACACACACACACACACACACACACACACACACACACTCAAGAACGTATGCGCACATGCATACTCCCAGTCTAGCATTTTGTTGATAATGAACCAAGTAATATTAGATTCAAAACACAGAGAAAGTGACACAGTGGCTGTGAGACACACAAACCTGGTGACAGAGTAACAAGCCTATTGTGTTACAGTGACCTTAAAAAAAATTATAAGAAAACAGACACTCCTGATAATGAAAAACTAAGTACATAAATACACGAACCAGTAGCATGGTTGTCTGCTACTACTTACAAGTACTATGTAATATCCTTAATTTGATGGCTTTATTTTTATGCATTTGGCAACATAGTATGTTTGTAAAAGCATCAACTCCCCACACATACACCCACATACCACACATGAGTAACAAATTGCTCCAACATCTTTAAGAGATTCAAAATTCCAACCTCACACTTGCTGTCCCTCATTGACCATACTGTAATTCTGGTACAATGCTGTTTTATGAGTAGCTAGTCACAGTATTTTATCATTGTCACAACATAAATGGTGCCCCTTACTCTCTTTACAAAGTTGAACTTTCGTCACTTGATGATTCAATGGGAGAGTGTCATAGTTAGGGTTTCTATTTCTGTGAAGAGACACCAAGGCCACCGCAATTTCTTTTTTTTCAAAACAGGGTTTCTTTTTGTGTAGCCCTTGACTGTCCTGGAACTTGCTCTATAGACCATCAAGCTGGCACGGAACTTAAAAAGATCTGCCTGCTTCTGCCTAAGTGCTGGTATTAAAGGCATGCACCACCACTGTCTGGTGATGACAATTCTTATAAAGAAAAACATTTAATTGGGGCTGGCTTGCAGTTTCAGAAGTTTAGTCCATTATTCAAATGTCGAGAAGCATGGAGGCATGCAGGCAGACGTGGTCCTGGAGAAGGAACTGAGAGGTTTACATCTTGATCTGCAGACAGCAGTCAGACCTGGCCTGAGCTTCTGAGACCTGACAAGCCTGCCGTCACAGTGACACACTTCCTCCAACAAGACCACTCCTACTCTAGCAAGGCCACACCTTCTAACAGTGCCACTCCCTATGGGCCAAGAACTCAAACACATGACTCTGTGGGGATCATTTCTATTCAAAGCACCACAAAGAGACAGCTTTCTCATCCAGTGGAGAGTTAGACACAGTTTCATAGAATTATGACTGAGGAGACATCCAGCCACCGTCTACACTGAGGAGGGAACGAGCTTCTGGAAAAGCTTATTGGGGCTGAGTCTCACGATGTCCCTCAGTTGCCACTAATTTCCCCATCACCTAAAACATTTTTTCCTTAGTTTCTTTATTCTTCTTGTTTTCTTCTCTTGCAAATTTGTCTCCTTCTTCATCCTTCTCCTCCTTCCTTTGAGGCAGAATTTTCTATGTATTCCAGGCTAGCCTCTAATTCACGGTCCCCCTGTCACCAGCTTCTGATGGTGTGATAAAACAATCTCACTTGGGGAGCAAAGGCGAAAGGGTTTATTTCAGTTTA